TTTCTTTTGCAACATTACTTACATGGAAAAGTTTTGCATGGCTTCACATGTATAATGAGTATCAAATTTCTTGTATTCTCAGAGAGGGAGAGAATTTGAAACTCAGATTTTTTTTCAAATGTTGAAAAATATTTTACATGTAATTGGGAAATATTTAATGAAATAAAAAATAAAACTTGAGATTTTTTTAAAAAATATTTTACAGATATATTTAAACAGCAGATTTGTACCTTGTGAAGTCAGTTATTAAGAAAATGACAGAATTGGGAAATAACCTTGTTTCAAATCTGGCTTTGCCTGTTGTTTGTGTTTGGTTGCCTTATAGCTGGGAGATTCAGGTTTAGCAGCTGTGTATCAAGAGTTTTTCCTGTATATGTATATATCATGTCCCCTTCAAAAGCAGAACCAGAAAGTTTACTTTCTTTGTACTTCCACAACTTTACCTGTCAAATTCCAGGGAAGTTCTCTGCATTTATTGTGTTGGCAAGTTATTCTACTTGAATATCTGTATTTTAGAAATATTAAAAGTTGTTTTTGTCATTTCAGTCACGTCCTGTTCTTAGTCAGCTCATCTGGACTTTTCTTGGTAAAGATGCTGGAGTGATTTGCCATTTCCTTTTCCACCTCGTTTTATAGATGAGGAAATTGAGGCAAACAGGGTTAAGTGACTTGCCCAGAATCATGTAGCTGCTAAGTGTCTAAGGCTACATTTGAACTTAGGTCTTCCTGATTCCAGGCCCAACCCTCTATCTGTTGCACCACCTAATGATACCTAGTTTTAAAACAACAACAAAAATAAATCCTGGACATGTGATAGTAATACCCAAAGTGACATTTTTATACTAGATACTTGCCACTTGATGGTGCTAGTGCATTAGGAATGTGTACATTTCTATGAGAAGTTAACCAAGAGAGTCTTCTGAGTGCCAGTTTCATAATTATTGATCCCAGCCTTTTCTTTATTGTATTTCACTTATTTAGCATCATCTTTACGTGTTTTCTTTGAAGGAAACTCCTTTGTGTTCTTTAATTGAACTGTAACAGTGTACTTTCACGTTTAATTGTTCAGTATTTTGAATGGAGATAAAATTAGTAGCTTTCTATAGTCAGATATTTTATATCCAAAAGAAACTTGACATACTTTTAGGGAGATGATTGAGTGGAAGATAGCTGTAAATATATGTCCCCTTTTCTTCTTACTTATAAACTCATCTGATATCTTAAAATCTATTGCTTGATATTATTTTTCTGTAGTTAATGAGTATGTGTTTACTAACTTTGAACATATACTCCTTCAGACCTTGAAAATATGAATACGTGTTGTTATTAATTAACTAAAGAAAAGTCCATTAGGAGGTTAGCTGGAATAACTGAAAGGCTCTGATAATTTAACAAGAGTATCTTACTTGTTAATAAAATACCCAGTTATTTTGTCCTATAAGATTATGAAATCAATCATTTAAAGATGTTTTTAGTTTACTTTCTGATTTCTGTTTTATCATAAAAATTCCCTAGAATAATGAGCCATAAGATTATATTAATGACAATATATTTATAATAACTTATAAGTTTACGATAGCATAATACATTTATAATAATTCATATTATAGATCATAGGTGAAGTCAAACAAGATTTCTGCTTTCTATGAACTTGAAGTGTAAAACAGATAGCTAAAATAGGTATGAAGCTTGTATAGAGACTGAATGCATTAAATGTACATTAACATAGCATTAGTTTTTTTTACACAGAGTGCTTCTCTCTTTTTTGAGAGCTCCTGAGTGAAAGTGGTCCTGAATTTCAGATTTAGACAGGAACTACTTGCTTGGAGACAGTTTGGTGGATTTACTAGAAGTATTGTGTTCCAGCAGAAGGATGGTGGTCTTAGGCTAGTTGATATGTAGCAGAAAGTGAGACCTTAGAAGCTTTCGAATTCGAGCTCCTCATTTTACAGATGAGAAACCTGAGGCCCAGACAGATTAATGAGCCTGCCCAATAACAAAGCTATTAAATGTCAGAGCTGGGTTTTGAACTCTGTCCCCCTTACTCCAAAACCAGTATTCATTTCACTGTACTTCATTATAACATTATTTAAAAAATTTTAAAGCTCTGTACGTGTACCCTGCCTCAGTAACCACCTTGCATTTATTTTGTATATATTTGTATGTGTTGTCTCCCCAAAAGAATGTAAGCTTCATGAGAGAAGGGATGGTTTTATTCTTTCGTCTTATATCACCAACACCATTGGAGTTGGGCACATAGCGGGATCTTAATACATGCTTTTTTCTTGATTGTTTGATAGAACAGTTCTATAAAGTAGATTAGTGGGGTAGAGAATAGCCTTCCTCCACAAAAGTAACCCAGATTTTAGGATCATCAGTTTAAAATTGAAAAAGACTTTGGAGGTCATCCAGTCCAATCCCTGAATTTTATAGGTGGTGAAACTAAGGCCCAGAGAGTTTGTGACTTATTTAGGGTAGTAAATAACATCAATTGTATTTGAACCCAGGTCTTTGACTCCAAATCCAATACTAGATCCACTGTAGCAAGCTACTTCTACATTGTAAATAACAAAAATAGTGTCTTCATATTACAGCTTACAGGTTACTTGATTTGTTCAGGATCGCTTATGTAGGAAGTGTTGGCTCAGGTTATTTGAATCTAGGGCAGCTAGGTGGCTCAGTGGATAGAGCACCAGGCATGAAATCAGGAAGACTACTTTTCCTGAGTGCCTATCCAGCCTCAGACACTTAGTAGCTGTGTGATGCTGCTCAAGTCACTTAACCCTGTTTGACTCAGTTTCCTTATGACCTGGAGAAGGAAATGACAAACTACTCCAATATCTTTGTCAAGAAAACCCCAAATGGGGTCTTGAAGAGTTGGATGCAACTGAAAATTATTGAACAACCACAGCAGCAAAGCAAAAATATACCTAATTAAGAGATGAACAGAGAAACCATATTTTTGGGCAACTAGGTGGTGCAGTGGATAGAGTTGGGCCTGAAGTCAGTAAGACTCATCTTCCTGAGTTCAAATCTGGCCTTAGACACATACTAGCCGTGTGACCCTGGGCAAGTCATTTAACCCTGTTTGCTTCAGTTTCTTCATCTGTAAAATGAGGTGGAAAAGGAAATGGCAAACCATTCTGGTATCTTTGCCAAGAAAACCCCTAACGAGTCACAAAGAGTCAGACACAACTGAAAAACGACTGTACAACAACAAATTTGAATCTAGGTCTCTCATTTTTAAGTCCAGCCTTCTTACCATTACATCATGCTGCATTTCAGAATCAAGCAACTGTGTGGGAGGTATATAATGCATGGCAGCCCCTTGAAAAGAGTGAGGTAGGGTGAAATGCAAAACCTAGAGAACTCTCCAAGCCTTAATCCAAAGCTGAAAGCACTTTAACTGTATTGTCAGAGAGTCACAGTGCTGGATCAGCCTTCAAAAAGTCTTGGAATAAGTTGTGTTTGAGCTAGGTCTGTAGCAGCTAGGGAGAGCAGTAGCAGTAGGCAGGACATCCAGAGTAGAGAGGACAGTGAGCCAGATCAGGAAAACACAGCACTGAGAAGTCAGAGAAGAACAAAACGCTAGTAGTCAGAATTCGGAATGGAGTTGAGAGAGGGAGTAGGCTTGCACTATGAACGTAATTTACTGTATTTTTCAGTAACTGGCTTATAATTTTGTTCTAACTTGTTAAATGGCTTCATAGTGCTCTTTTAAAAAAAATTGTCCTTTTTATAATTTTTATTCTTCTTTACCCACTTTGTTATCAGTTGCTTTTTGCTGTTAGTGTGCAGCTTAGCTCTATCTAATATGCTTGTTCTGATCTGCTGTTAGCCAGACAGCCAAGCTAGGAAACTTGTTAGAACTATATGTAAAGTAAGAAAAATAGGCTGTAAGTGAGAATTTCTCTGTAAATTAGTAAACAAGTTTTAGCGAATGAATATATATTTTAATTGCTCAGATGCCTTTTGGGGGAGGGAGGAAGGGAAAAGTTTTATTTTTTAATATTACTGTCCTTTCTCAGTGATATGTCTTTTTCTTCCCTCAAACTCTCCAATAGAACCCTCCCTTGTCACTAATAAGTACAGTCAGGCAAAACAAATCAGTGCATTGCTCATGTTTGAGAATATATGCCTCAGAGGTCTTTTGTTTCTTCCTGTTCTTCAGCTATGTTCCACATAATTGAACTTGCTAGATAAGTAACTTAGATAACTTTAAGTGTTGAGTTCTTTTTTTTGGGTGTGAGGCATTTGGAGTTAAGTGACTTGCTCAGGGCCATGCAGCTAGTAAGTGTCAAGTGTCTGAGGTCCTCCTGATTCCGAGGCTAGAGCTCTATCCACTGCACCACCTAGCTGCCCCTTAAGTGTTGTTATTGATAAGCTTTCTAGTCTATACTCTACTGCAGTGCTTGATTATCTGTGAACTTGTGGTGGCTAATTATGTGACAAATGTTTAGGCCAGGGGTAGGGAATCCCCTGCCTCTAGGCCACATGTGGCCTTCTAGATCCTTGGTTGCAGCCTTTTGACTGAGTCCAAATTTTAGAGAACAGATCCTTTTATTAAGGGGATTTATTCTGTGAAGTTTGGATTCAATCAAAGGGCTGCACTTGACGACCTAGAGAGCCACATGTGGCCTCAAGGCCACCAGTTCTCCACACCTGGTTTAGACTGTTTCAAAGTTTTATGTATTTTTACATTAAGGTCATTAATAATTTTGAGCAGATGTCTTCAGTAACATTGTAAATATTTACCATAAAGCATTATAACTTTCAGAAAAGAGCTTTGAGTGTTTAAATGTAAAGAGTATCAGCTTTTAAAATATTTCTATAAATTATTTACTTTTGTTGTATTTTATTGTGGTACCTGCTAATATGTAGTCAATATATGCTTTTTTACATTCATCCTAATTGTGTGAACATATAAGGAAGCTTATGTTTAAAGGAATTAATTCTGATATATCCTTTCCTTTATTGCATGCTGTATATAATTTTTACAGATTGGATTTATTACCATTTTATGCAAGATTGGTTGCCACATTACATCCTTGCATGTCAGATGTTGCAGAGGATCTTTGTTCGATGCTGAAGGGAGATTTCAGATTTCATGTATGTATTTTTACTACTTATTTTATAGTATCTACAGGCTTAGTTAAAAAAATACCTAATGATCTTTTTGATGTACAAATTTGCTTCATAATTCAGAAAATGAGGAATTCTTAAATTGGTGTGTGTTAAATAATTTAATGGAGGGATCTTCTGAAGTTATGGTGTTTATTGAATGCTCTGCTTGCTCCAAAATTTTGGGCTGCTTCACTGCCAGGTTTCTCTTCTGGTTGAAGACAGACTGCATCATCGTCTTCGTCGTTGTCATTGTCATCGTCGTCATCATCATCATCATCATCATCATCATCATCATCATCATTATCATTATTTAAGCCCCAGAATTTACTCTGGCTCCATTGTGTGTTTATGTCAGCAAGTTGCTTAGGTATCTTGAGTCTCAGTATTCCCAGTACTCAGCTTTTGAAGGCATAAGAAACTCTACAGAAACTCCATGAACTCTAATGAGTCTGTTACCATCACATTTTCCGTTCATGCTTTTACCACGTATTTAAGATCTTTCTCTTTAAAAATTTCCAGGTCTTTTTATAGGGAATGTTTCTAAGTGTAACAGTCATATCTCAATATTATAGCAGAAAACCAGGAGTTGATACTATACTTGGTGGGTTCCAGGAACTCTCTTCTTTGCTTGCTAGGTTCCTTTGTGCTCTCAGATGAACTGCCATGCCAACTGGTAGAACCAATGCAGGAGAAAGAGAAAGAAGACCTGATTTTCAGCCCTTTTAATGCCTTTGTGACCTTGGACAATTCGTTTAAACTTTGTGGGATTTAATTTTCTCATCTGTAATCTAATGGGCTTGGACTAGATGATCTTTAAGGTCATTTCCAACTTAAACCCCTGAGATTCAGTAATTATTCATCTTTGACAAGGGAGGCTGCCTGGTGAAACTACTTGGCAATAGTGAGAGAAGTGGGAATAGTGACCAGATAAAGAGAGGGATGAAATGGACAATCATTAGGAGGAGGAACAGGATAATAACAGACTCTAGAAAAACCGAACTCCTGAAGCATCTGATCAGCACAATCTGATGTTAGATTACTTTTTCTTAAAAAGGTTAAATACTTTTCTTTTTTTAAAGGCAGTTGGGGTTAAGTGACTTTCCCTGTGTCACACAGCTAGTAAGTGTCAAGTGTTTGATCTGAGGCCAGATTTGAACTCAGGTCCTCCTGACTTTAGGGGCTGGTGTTCTATCCGTTGCGCCACCTAGCTGCCTCAAAAAGGTTAAATACTTTTAAGTTCTCTATAAAGGACTGTTCAGATTCCTCTATTGTAAACATTTTATCAAGTCAGAAGTTTATGTGTCTGAAGCAGGATTAATGATTAAATATTTAACAGAATTTTTATTGGATGGGGTTTGAGTAATGGCAAATGACAGGCTGATTTATGGTTTTTTTTTTCTATAGGAAAACATTCATTACTTAGTCTGTTTCATAGGAGTGAACTTCTTTATTAAAAAATATAGTTTAATGCTTCTACTCTGATCCCTTGATTTGTATCTTCATAAAGTTTTTGTTATAATGTATCTTTTTTATATAACCTGGTTATATTTGATTCCTTAGCTGTCTTTCCTATCAAATATCCAGCTAGTTGCCAGATCTTGCTGTTTCTTCCGCCACAGCATCTTACAACTGGCTCCTCCTCTCTGCTCACACAGCCACCACCTAAATTGGGAGGGGTCGGAGAAGGGAAGGGAATAGATATTTAAGTACCAGGCATTGTGCCAGTTATTTTGTAAATATCTCATTTGAGACTCACAAGAATCCTTTGAGACAGGGCCACACCATTATCCCCATTTTGCATATGAGGAAACTGAGGCAGACAGAGTTTAACTGATTTGTCCATGGTCACACATCTAGTAAGTGTCTGAGACCTAATTTGAATTTAGGTTTTCCCAACTCCACATGTGATATATCTATGTCACCTTGCTGCCTCTCATTCAGACCCTTATTACCTCTCAGCTCTACTGTTGCAATTGGCTGCATAGTTGTTCTTCCTGACTCAGATCTCTTTCCATTTTGAACAATTTTGCCAAAAATAGTCTGACCATATCACTGTCCTACTTAACTGACCATGTCACTGCCCTACTTAACTGACTATGTCACTGCCTTACTCAGTAGAGACTTCTTTGTACTTCTAGGATAAAATATAAACTTGGCTTTTAGAGTCATTCACAATCTGGCCCCAACCTGTTTTGTCAGACTCATTTATACGTTTTTCCTCCTCGCTGTGTGACCCAGACAAACTGGTCTTTTCTCAGTTCCACATATGGTCCTCAGGCTTCTGTCTCCATGCCTTTGTAGTGACTGTCCTTTATGCTTGGAATGCATTTGCTCCTCACCTCTGCTTTAGAACCTCTCACTTTAACATACAGATGAAGTCCTATGTTCTATACAAAGCTGTTCCTGATTCTTCATCGTCCTTTTCTCTGGTAGAATATAAACTGCTAGAGAATAGGGATTTGTACTTATATCCAAAGTGCCTAGCACAGTGTCCGACACACAGTAGGAGCTTAATAAATGTATGTTAGTCTGTAAACATCACTTACTATATGTCAGGCATTGTGCTAGGGCTATAGATTCCAGGAAAGGCAAAAGATAATCTTTGCCGTCAAGAACTCACTGTCTAATGGGGGAGACAACATGCAAATAACTGTGTACAAATAGGCTATATGCAAGATAAATTGGAAAACAAGAATTTATAACCTTTTTTTAAACTGGAGCACAACATTTACTGATTTTTTTTTTCTGTCAGAAGAAATTAACATATTTCAAACTGTTATATACTTGCATGCATCTTTTCCTTTTTTCTCCATAGGTACGAAAAAAGGACCAGATCAATATTGAAACAAAGAATAAAACTGTTCGATTTATTGGAGAGCTAACAAAGTTTAAAATGTTCACTAAGAATGATACACTATATTGTCTAAAGGTTAGTGTTTTGATCATTCCTTTGATTTGATGGATTTATATGGAAATAAAAATGAAGTGCTATGTAAATGTAAGTAATAATACTACAAGATGCTGGTGTTTATGTATTATTTCAGAATAAATATGGCAATGGATAGTAACATTTTATTGTAACCCATTAAAAAGGAAGTTTATTATTCCTTTTATCTGTTCCTTTCAAGAATTAGAATTGTTCAATGAGAAAATCTAAAAAACATTAAAATTTAAGTTTAAAGACAAAAGTAAATTTTGAAACTTCTTAAATGCTGAAAAAGATCTTTTTTTAAAGAATGTAGAATTCTAAAGTTACACAATTTATTGGAAAAAATTAAAAATATGAATATGTTTTCACAGATGCTTCTGTCAGACTTTTCCCATCACCATATTGAAATGGCATGTACCCTGTTGGAAACTTGTGGAAGGTTTCTTTTCAGATCTCCTGAGTCTCACCTGAGAACCAGTGTTCTTTTGGTAAGAGGAAGAAATCATTGTTTATTTTTTAAAAGTCAAAATAATTACCAGGGTTGGTCTAAGACATCTTATTCATTTATTGTAAGCATAGCCATCCCTTGGTCTACAAGGGATGGCTATACTTTATATTTATCCCTATTTGAGAAATGCTGCTCTTTGCAATTGGAAGGTATTTTGCTTTTCAGTCTATCTAGTTGAGATAATCCAATATGATTAAAATTAGTTTTTTTCTACCTTTACATGCAAATATTTGAGTCCATCACCGGCTGCAGTTTTTCTTTCTTTCTTAAATTTAATTAGAGAACATTAGTTTTTTTAATCTAACTGCATATTTAGTTTTTCTTGGTTTTTGTGGCAGTATTTTAAAATACTCCTCCTGCCTATTTTAATCACCAGGACATTAGCCTAATTTCTATTTTCTTTTTGGGGGGGGGCTAGGCAACGAAGTTAAGTGACTTGTCCAGGGTCACACAGCTAGTAAGTGTTTTGTGTCTGAGGCCATATTTGAACTCAGGTCCTCTTGAATCAAGGGCCAGTGCTCTATCCACTGCGCCACCTAGCTGGCCCTGACATTAGCCTGATTTCATAAAAGACATGTTATCTTGAGACACAACTTAAGTTCTTAGTTTCTATTAGTACAGTGTTGAGGAATGGGTTATTTAATTTAGAGCATTTGTGATCCTATTCTGTAAAAAAAGATAATCAGCAGACTAGAACAATGGACTGAATCAGGATTAATGTAAAGTACTACCCTTAGTATAAAGATTGCACAGCACAAGTGCAAGGTAGGAGAGAGGTTCTTATGATGCAGATTCTTATGATAAAGATACAGAGTTTTAGTGGCATGTGATATTTATGAATCAGTATTATGATATGGAAGTTAAAGACCTAATGTCATTTTGAATAACATTCATATAAATCTATAGAATGCTAGAAGTGCTAACTGTATTTCACTGTGTAATCATTGCACCCAAAAATTGGTTTGTTACCTTTCATCGTGTATTCGTCACATGGTATAATTCTGTTCCTCACATTGCTTAAAAGGTAAACAGAGCAGCATGTGGATACCATTCATCTCTGGTGCGTTGTGGGCCTAGAATTCCCAGCACATGCACATTGTCAGTATATTTCCAAAAGCCAACGTGCTGGTTTGTGTAGAGTGCTGCAGTTCTAATGGTATTGTCATTCACCCTAATGAAGAGCCATAGGCATAAGGGGAGCGGGTAGGCAGGCGAAGCTGCCCTGAGTAAATCATGTGATGTGGTGATGTCATGTTCACCTTCGCTGTGCATCTTCCCATACTTGCTAAACTGTACAGTTCATCTGCCAGTGATACATTGACATTAGAAGCATTTCTTTCTGATAGTGGGTAAATATAAAAACTGTTCTGTGGGCTTCAAGGTGAAAGTGATTGTGTTCACTTAATAGCATGGGAACTGCTGTGGAAAGACAGTTTTCAGTGAGTGAAAAAAGTTGATGAGAGACTGATGGAAACTAAAAGACAAGTAATACTGGCACGATTTTTTAAAAACTTCACATAATGGTCACAGCCCACTTTTTTGCAAAAAATTTTGGCCTAAAATCTGCTACAATTATGTGGTGAAATATAGTTATTTTGGGAATGCTGCCCTATTGAGGCTACATTTTTTTCTGGGTCCTATATTTTAGAATGACAAAGAGATGCAGGACCCACAGATATCCAAGTGTCCTTATCTAAGATAAGGATAAAAGGAATAAGCATTATGCCATATGAAGGTCTGTGGAAGAAATTGGGATTGTTTGGCCTGAAGAAGAGACTATTGGGAATGGGTAGAAGATGATAGCTGACTTCAGGTATTTGAAGAACTGTCATTTGAAAGGATACAGTTATTTTTCTTGACACTAGAGGGCAGAATAGATGCTTTCAGCTCTCTATAAGAATCAGATTCTTAATACTCAAAGGTATGTGGAAAATTAGAATAGGCTCCTAAACAGAAGGTATTGAATTCTTCATCACCTGAAGTCTTTAAGCAGAGTCTAGATGACTACTTTTTTTTTATTTTTTGTGAGGCAATTGGGGTTAAGTAACTTGCCCAGAGTCACACAGCTAGTGAGTGTTCTGTGTCTGAGGCTAGAGTTGAACTGAGGTCCCACTGACTCCAGGGCTGGTGCTCTATCCACTGCGCCACCTAGCTGCCCCTAGACTACTTGAAGATGTTGTAGAGGAGATTCTTGTTCAATATAGGTTTAATTATGAATTGGACGACTTCTGGTTCTGAGATTATATGATCTGTTTCTATAAAATGTTAAGAGTGAAAGATTTGGAGATTAAGTTATCTTTTTTTTTAAAGGAACAAATGATGAGAAAGAAACAAGCAATGCATCTTGATGCGAGATATGTCACAATGGTTGAGAATGCATATTATTATTGCAATCCCCCTCCAGCAGAAAAAACTGTGAAGAAGAAGCGCCCTCCTCTCCAGGAATACATCCGTAAGCTCCTTTACAAGGACCTCTCCAAGGTTACTACTGAGAAGGTAAATCTTAGAGAAATCATTCATTACTAGAAGTCCTGCTTCCTTCTGTGTGACAATATAATGTTTGTTGTGGGCTCAATTTGATGTTGTTTCTTTTTTTTTTTTTAAATTGACACAATGAGCAGAGTAGCATATGATTTCACAGTGCATTTGGGATTGTTGTATTCGTAGCCCATGCAGCAGAGATGTAAATTCTTTGCAGTTGATATTGTATCCATTATTTAAATTGAGAGGCTGAAATAAAAGGTGTAGTTTGAAGTCTATTTGAAGTAAGATTGGTGAGATCTAGGACTAAACGCTTTTGTTTCTTTTCTGATTTGTTCTATGTATTAAGGATCCATAGAAGTTCAAATTTGAAAGGGCATTTAAAGACTATCTGATCCAACTCCTTTAGCTATAACAATAAGGACGTTGGTCTGCTAAGTTTAAGTTGACTGACCAGTCACATTTCTAAGTAGTGGTAAAGCTGGTAGAGTTAGAACTAAAATCCTTTAGTTGGTTTCTTAACTCCTAATCCATCCATTCATTGCTTTTTCTGTTGTGCCGTATGTCTTTTAGTGTTGTGAAGAACTTTATACAATAGTACTAAAAACTGAGGATATAGATTTATACTTTAGGGTGTTATTTTGTTTCTAGGATAATAGCTTCTTGTCCTAATAGAGAAATTAACTTTTTAAAATTTAACTTCTACTTTGCCAGTATTTTAAGATATTTTCCAGTGATTCTTTTTGTCTTGATGCTGTAATTGTTACTGATATGCAGGCATCTATAAAAACCTTGTCTCAGTAATATTTAAAAATTAAAACTTTACTAGAAGAGTTATTTTGGGAAAATACTTGCCAATACTTTAAAAAGGTTTTTTGAAAACTTGTGAGAAGTTTTGGAATATTTAGGGGAAAGAAAGAAAATTAACTTTGGGGAATAAAAGGTAACTAAGATAATAAATGATAACTAAGAAAAATCAATCACCATTTATTAAATTCCCAATGGCTAGTCACTGTGCTGGCCAGACAAAGACAGAAATAATCCCTACTCTCAAGGAGCTTATGTTCTAATGGGAGAAGTAATTAGATCTATAAATATATACAATAAATATGAAAGAATAAATATAAATGGATACCAAGTAGTTAAGTACAAGATAGTTTGGGAGGGGGTGGGCACTTAAGGATAAGCAAAGGCTTCATGTAGAACGTGACACTTGAGCTACACTTTAGGAAGATACAGTCTTTCCAAGACAGATGTCAGTCAGTAGGGAGTGCATGCCAGGTACAGAGACAGGAGATGGAGCTGATATTTGTGGGGAACAGAGAGAAGGCCAGGTTAACTGGATTGCAGAGTATAGGAGGTTGGTAATGTCCATTGAGGCTGGAAAGATAGGCTAGAGTCAAGTTATGAACCTGAAACACCTGAGGAATGGTGTAGCCTTTGACAGGAATAGGGCAGTGTTTATCTAGCTTTTATTTTCACATCATTCATTTCTCACTATAACCTTCCTCACATCACTTCTCAGCAATCCATGCCTTGTACCAGATTTTTTTTAAAAAATTTAAAAAAAAAGCAGTTTAACAAAACTAATACATCAAGTGTATCCAATTACGTATAGGTATGGTTTATTATCCATAATTGTAGTTCCTCAGACATCTTATGAAGGGAAAGGTGGTAAAGTAGTAGTATTTAAACTGGGAAAATAATGAAGTGGGAATGTTGCAAAGCTTTTTGAAAGCTAGTATTTTTAATATTCAAAGTGAAAAAGAAAGAGAATATGAATGATTGGAGCAGTGGTAGTACTTAACCTCTAGGATATCGCGAGCTGTTTTAGAATTCATATTGTTAAGATATAGTTCATATTGTTGAGACATTAAAGGTTAAAGGAAATTGCAAATAAATAAATGTTCTTGTTGAAAGAAGACCGTTGAATCAGTAAATATTGTGATTGAAGAGATGAACTTAACAGTTTAGATGCAGTTTAGGGCAGCTAGGTGGCAGGCACATTGGATAGAGAGCTTGCCCAGAGTCTGGAAGCCCTAAGTTCAAATATGACCTCAGACATTTACCAGCTTTGTGACCCTGGGCAAGTCACTTAACCTTTGCCTCAGTTTCCTCATCTGCAGTGGGGATGCTAATAGTACCTACCTTGCACAATTGTTGGATCCTATGAGATAATATTTGCAAAGCACTTAGCACATTGCCTGAAACATACTAAGCACTATATAAATGATAACTATTAACATTATTATTATTATTTTTATAAATATAAGAATATATTGGTGGAGGTGAGTATTGAGGGTAAGAGAGTATCCTTGACTGTTGTTGGGACTAATAGTACTTATATCTTATTTGCATGGAAAGTTGTTAGGAGTGCAGTTTTAGCTAACTGTGTTAATTAGTGTTAATCTGTTGCCTGTGGAGTATTTTATGGTAGAATTATTTTTAAAAGGTGCTATGTAATTGTAGTCTGGAAGTAGTCATTACGTTGTTGTAAGTCTTCTCTTAAACAGATAATCTTGGAGATGTTAAAGAAACTCATTCCTCTTACTACACAGTCTCTTTCGCATTTCCCCATCCTCCCTCCCCTCTTTGTTCTCCCCCCTCATCCCTCCACTTTTTAAGCTGATATCTGTGTGGTTGCCAGGAAGAAGAATGATTGAGTAGAAGAAGCAATGCTTTTAAGAGTATAGTAATTCTTTAGGATGATATTGATATGTAATGCAAAATTAAAATTATTTTCCAATAATCAAAATGAGATAATTATCCTACTTGATTTCCTAATAAGTGGCACTGCCTATTTTTAAATTTTGCAATTAACTTGAAACAAATATTTCTTATTTAGGTACTAAGACAGATGCGAAAGCTGCCCTGGCAGGATCCAGAAGTGAAAGACTATGTTATTTGTTGTATGATAAACATCTGGAATGTGAAATATAATAGTATTCATTGCGTAGCCAACCTCTTAGCAGGATTAGTGCTTTACCAGGAAGATGTTGGAATTCATGTTGTGGATGGAGTATTAGAAGATATTCGACTAGGAATGGAGGTAAAAGCATTTTTTGAAAGCCTCCAAAATTTGTTTAAATGGAAAAATTAAAATAAAAATCCGTTAATTACACAATTAAAAAATACAATTTTGACATTTTTAAAGTTTTTAAGTAACAGGTAAACTTTTGTATCAACTACTTTCTCTTTGTAATTGCTATTTTGGTTAGCATATTTCTGCTGTATGGATTTCCCGGTCTGTTCTCTGATTTGGAATTGCTCTTTTTTCCATGTCCAGTGTTAATTTATGTCTTTTATCAATTTAAGCATACCAGTACCATTGTGAGGCAGTACAATGCAGTAGACTTGAAATGAGGAAGACTTGAGGTCATATCCAGGCTTTGACACAATAGCTTTGTGTTCATAAAGTCACTCACCTGCTCTGAGTCTCAGGTCATTCTTTTAAGATAATTATATTTTATAAAGAGGTTGGGAACTGCATTAGTGGAAGAAGAAAAATTAAAGGTTCATAGTGTAAAAATCATTGTAATAACTTCTAGGTTTTCCATTTAAAGGTTTATAATATTGGTAAATGTTTTCAGGAACTTTGTTTAACATTTTCCTTAAAATTTAAGTTCCTTTGGATTACAGAGAAAGTATATAGAGTGATTAGGAGAAAGGATGCATTTTAAAATTTCTAGAAATTATAAATAAATTTAATGGTGCCTGGGTGCTGAAGCCTATTTTGTATTCTTATACTTGTACTAATTTAAGCAGTGCCAGATCATAGTAATTGCAGTTTTCTTAGGAAACAATAATTTATGCCCCAAAGTGAACAAATTTGGGGGTGGGTGGAATAAGAAAATCTTTTCCTCTTTTTGGTTCTCTGCCAATAACTCAGCTTCTTGAATGGATATGTGAAATTCTACCTATTTACGAACACATACTATGTATCCTAGATATTAAAAGTTTTCTGCTTTTGTTTTTTAAGGTTAACCAGCCTAAGTTTAACCAGAGACGGATCAGCAGTGCCAAGTTCTTGGGGGAACTTTATAATTACCGAATGGTGGAATCAGCCGTTATTTTTAGAACTCTTTATTCTTTTACATCATTTGGTGTTAATCCTGATGGTACTCCAAGTCCACTGGACCCTCCTGAACATCTCTTCAGAATTAGGCTAGTATGCACTATTCTGGATACCTGTGGTCAGTACTTTGACAGAGGCTCCAGCAAACGAAAGCTTGATTGTTTCCTCGTTTATTTTCAGGTAGGCATCAGATAAAATACTGATTTTATATATCACTGAATATATTGAACATACATATCATTGAATATATTACTAGTCTTCAATAATTGACTTTTTAATACTCACAATAAATTATGTTATTTTAAACTCAGTTACATTGTCCAATGAAGAAAAGCATCTTGATTTTTCCTTAATTTTTGCTGTTATCTTTACACATCTCTATGGGTATTCAGGAATATGTGAATACTTTATTTGTAGCTTTATCTATAATTTATTAGAATTTCCATTATAGCATCAACCTACTCTTCCATTCATTCATTTGGTGAGTACATTCCAGTTGAGGATGGCAGGAAGATATATATCTGCAGCCACAAAGCAAGAACATAAATATATTTTTAGCACTGGTAATTAATTGCATGAAAAGAAGGTACTTCTAGGTCATTCACTACCTAGGTTTTGTGAAGTGGACAACAAAGCACAGTTCCTTTTTTACTTATATATTTATTTTCAGGATTCATTTTTTAAAATTCTCTCCATCCCTCCTCTCCCTCCCCCATCCATAGAGAAGGCAAGTAATATGATATCAGTTATACATGTAAAGTCATGCAAAACTTATTTCTATGTTAGCCATGTTGCAAAAAAAAAAAAGAGGAAAAAAGTCAAGAAAAATTTTTAAAAAGTGAAAAAAGTATGCTTCGTTTCGCACTTAGAGTTCATCATTTCTCTCTCTGGGGTAGATGGTATTTTATTTTTTCCATGGGTCCTTTGGAATTGTCATGAATCATTATCTTGATCAAAGTAGCTAAGTCTTTCATAGTTGATCGTTGTTACAGTATTGCTGTTACTGTATACAGGAATCTTTTGGTTCTGCTCGGTTCAAATGTCTCCCCTGGTCTTTCTAAAATCATCCTGCTTGTCATTTCTTATAGCACAGTAGTTTTCTGTCACAGTCATATAACACAACCTGGTTAGCCATTCTACAATTGATGGGCATCCAGTGGGGACTTTTTCAATACTGTGTTTGTATGTCAGGACCAATTATATCATTAGAAAGTGAAAATACTTCTGTGTCACAATTTAGATTTTAGTTCTGTTATAAGATGTCAGGAATAATAAACTACTTCAACTGGTAGTATAATGGAGAAAAAAAATCTTTTAGCAGTGTAATTCCCATTTGTACTCAGAAATTGATACCGCAGGTCCAGGAAAGTGAAGAGACAAAAAAAAAATCTGTCCCTGAGCAAGAAGATAGATACATCTTTAAAAGTTGATGAAATTAAAGACAAAAACAGTAGCAGAGAGAAGTATCTGGGAGAAATGAAATAAATGAATGAATCTGAGAAGCTAGGCTAGAGATGATAGCTCTTTATGCATTCCCTGAAAAGGAGGCTGTAGGATTATGATCTGGTTGGTGAAAGGGAGTGGACATCTCAGAGAAATTTGAGCTTTTGAACGCTTATTATATTACTGTGTTCACAGTAGACTTTGCTTTTTTTTGAATGTTTGAATATTTTAAAATTTTGATTCTTCACTTGCATTTCAAATGTTGTATCTTTTAATATTTTAATTGACTTTTTAAAAAGCAAAACATCATAGGCAAAATAAAAGGCTTTTATCAAATAGGCTGTAATACTTAATCTGATCACTATACTAAAAATTTAAAAATACTTTAAACTAGAATTTAAAAAATACTTTAAACTCAAATATTTTTTTGATTCATGGTAATGAAGAACAGACTAGAGACTTATGGTATACAGTTTGTTTTTTTACTTGTAGTTGTTATCATATATTGTATTTATAATTAAATTCTGTTACCAATTTCTCATAGTCAAATATTCTTTCTTATTACCAGCGATATGTTTGGTGGAAGAAAAATTTGGAGGTTTGGACAAAGGACCATCCTTTTCCTATTGACATAGATTATATGATCAGTGATACATTAGAACTGTTAAGACCAAAGATCAAACTTTGTAATTCTCTGGAAGAGTCCATCAGGCAAGTACAAGACTTGGAACGAGAATTCTTAATAAAACTAGGTAAGCAAATCAGGGGGGAAATAAAAGTGATTCGTGGCAGTTGCCTATTTTATTTAATAGTATCGTCAATTATAGTTTTATATTCGTTGTGATTTATATACCTGGTTCTGAATTATGTAATAGTATTAGGTATACCTTCTTGGCATACCACTCATTTCAGTTAATACCAATTTAGAAGAATGTAGCCCTGAGGGATTCATAGAAAATGTTAGTAAAGGAAAAATATGCATTTAAAAATTTTAAGCATTGCATATTTTTGGTTGCTAATTTCAGATTTAAGACTTTTCTTTGTATTTCAGATATATATGTGTGTGTGTGTGTGTGTGTGTGTGTGTATGTTCTTTAATTTATTTGCAGTCATCTTAAATTTTAGTAGTAGTTTGTCTTTCGTTTTTGAAACTCTTAAAATTTTGTTTATTTGAGACACTGTAGCATATTGGATAGAGAGGTGGCCTTGAAATCAGAATGACCTGGGTTCATATCCCACCTTTGAGACCTACTGGCTATTACCCTGGGCAAATAACTTAACTTGTCAGTGCCCCAGGCAACCTTTTAAGAATGCACGTTGAAAAGTATCTACCAGTCAACATTGGTAGAGAGAATTTGTTCTTCATCTCCTCAATAAAAGCATAGCTTCTATATTGTTTACCCCTTCCCCCCATGTCCCCCAATACTACAAATACTATTAGTATCATTTCCAGGAAAGCTAAGTACTCTTTTGAACAGTTCACATACTTATTTTGACAGAATGCTCCTTGCTATCCATTTATTGTGGAATTTTTGCATTACCAATAGGGATGTAGGAGAAATGGAACTGTTCTTGTTTTGTGATGCATTTATTAGATAGGTCTCTTTTCTAGTATTATAGTTGTACAACTCGTTTGTGAACTCTACATGAATGGTTCATCCAGAACTTGTAAAATTATTTATATATGCAGTTTAGTTGTTTGGATAAAAAGATAAATATAGGCCGTGGCATGTTAAAATTCTCAGAGAGAATGAAACCTATTCTGTTTCTGTCATTTAACAGTACTTAAAACTGCATTGTTGTATTTCTTGTTATCATTCCACATAGAAAAAGACCTAGGTCGTAGTATGGTAGACGCTTAAACCTGCTGGATTAGATCGAGTATCAGAATATAGGTTTATATTTCTCAAATTCTGTCACAGGCCTACTGAGTTTCAGTCCCTGCCCAGTGTCAGAACCTTTTTGTTCTTGTAGTGGAGAGGACAGCTTGCTAAGAGATTCATCCTCTAAGTCATTTGGTATTTTTTATTGCTTGGGGAGAAGTTCCTTAAAAATTACTTTTCGTGGTGAAGAAGATACTAATTTTTATTTATTTAAGCTGCTCTTGTATGTCTTTATTAGAGTAAGCCCTGTTTCCTTATAGAGTTGATTCCATTGTGTCTGGTATTGAGTAAAACTATTTGTTCCTACTGACTGAGCAACTATTAAATTGCTTTCTGTTGTTTACAAGTTCACAAAGACTTCTGTATGATCATCCTGTTCTTTTTAAACTCACATTTCAAGTTATCTACTTCCTTTTCTTTGATAAATCATCAAATGCTTATTTTTATAAGTTCTGAAAAGAATTCTTACACCAAACAATTGTAGTAATAATACCATTCTTAAAATTCATGCTTATATGATTTACAGTAGATAAATGTTTATGCGTAATTGTTTATACAGATAGAAAAGTTAATTCTTTTTTCACTCAGCTTGTTTAGTGTGAAAAAATTTGTCTTTGTTTCTCTTAATGACAACTATTTATTGTGTACCACATTCTTTACCGTTCATATCTGTACATTTGCAATGAGTGTTAAGCAGTTACTGTCCACCAGCCACTGCTGTAGGTTCTAGAACTACAAAAATGAAGATTCGCTGAATTCAAGGTTTATAGTTAACTGGGGTGGAGTGACAAGGAGTATATGTACAAGTATTACTACAAAAAAGAAATATGATAAAGGCACTCTTTTTTTTTTTACTTTTTTAAAATTCTTTTTTTACAGGGATGGTCCACAAAGATTTTAAGAGGTAGAGCTGTGGAATTTCAGGTATAGTGGACTGCATATATACATATATATGTATATATGCAGAGGCCAAAGACTGTAGCATTAGGTTGAGAACCAGCATTTGCCTGGAATGTCTGACGTGATAAAGGGTTGTACAGTAAAATGAGGATGAAAAGGTAGGTTGGCACCTGATTGCAAAGGGCCTAAAATTTCAGACTAAGGAGTTTGTATTTTATTCTATGGGCAGTGGGAAGAGACTGAAGATTTTTGATCTGGGGAGTTATATGTTCAGACCCTGTGCATCAGGAAGATTATTGTGGCATCTGTGTGAAGAATGGATTGGAGAAAGGAGAGACTGGTGGCAGGAAGACCAGTTAGGAAGATGTTGCAGTAGTTCAAATAAGGACCCAAACTAGGATGGTGGCAGTATGAGGCGAGAGTAGTATATTAAATAAAAGAGGGTAGCATTAAGCCTACATTGTTTGTGTATCCCCTATTATAGTTCCTTCTACCCTCTTGTTTGTGTTTTAAAAATATTTCATTGACTTTTTTTTTAACATTATTATCGCTGTCTACCAAGACCTCCCCTTAGCTTTCCACCATGATCCCCCTTAAAAAACCCTCCCTTGTAGCAAATAAATATAGTCAAGCAAAACAAATTCATGCACTTTGTCAGGAAAGTATGTGTATTATTTTGCACCTCTACATCCACACCACCTGCACATGCCCAATCTCATATGATCTCAGAAATAAACAGGGTCAGACCCGGTTAGTACTTGGTTAGGAGACCTAGGAATACCAGGCGCTGTAGGCTTGAGGCAGTTAGATGGCTTAGTAGACGGAGCCCTGGTCCTGAAGTCAGGAAGACCCTGAGTTCATGTCTGGCCTCAGACACTTAACTAGCTGTGTGTTCCTAGGTAAGTCACTTAACCTCTGTTTGCCTTAATCCACTGGAGAAGCAACTGGTAAACCACTCCAATATCTTTGCCAAGAAAACCCTATGTTCCATGGAGTCATGAAGAGTTGAATGATTGAACAAAAAGTCTATCATTTTTGTTCCATGTGGCAGGAAGCATGATTTGCATTGATCAGCATTATTAGGTCTTTCATAGTTGTTTCCCTTTATGTTATTGTAGTGTCTCAAAAATTACAGTTCAGTTTTAAATTTTAACAGGTTAAAACTACATTAACAGTTTTGGGACATCATATAAAAATTCTTTTCCTGTTTTTGTCTTCCCATGTTTTTCTGAATCCTCTTTTTTTGGTGAGGCATTTGGGGTTAAGTGACTTGCCCAGGATCACACAGCTAGTAAGTGTCAAGTGTCTGGTCTGAAACCAGATTTGAACTCAGGTCCTCCTGACTGCAGGGCTGGTGCTCTATCTACTATGCCACTTAGCTACCCCCTCTCTGAATCCTTCTACTTCATTTTCTTATGGTATAGTAATATTTTGTCACAGCCACATCCACCTACCCCTTTCAGCTTTTCCCCAGTTGATGGGTACTCATTTTGTTTCCAGTTTCTTTGCTACAACAAAAAGTGCTTCTGTAAATGCGATTGTATATACAGATCATTTTCCCTCTCTGACCTTTTTGAGAATGTATGGCTTATAGTGTATCACTAGCTCAAAGGATATGCACAGGATAGCACCACTGTTGTTTAGTATTGTACTGGAAACGTTAGCTATAGCAATAAGAGAAGAAAAAGACATTGAAGACATTAGAATAGGCAAAGAAGAAACAAAGCTATCACTCTTTGCAGATTAAGTGATGATATACTTAGAGAATCCTAGAGAATCAAATAAAAAACTACTTGAGATAATAAACAACTTTAGCAGAGTTGCAGGTTATAAAATAAACCCGCATAAATCATTGACATTTCTATATATTACCAACAAAACCCAAGAACCAGAGATAGAAAGAGAAATTCCATTTAAAGTTACTGTAGACATTCCAAAATATTTAGGAGTTTACCTACTGAAACAAGCCCAGGAACTCTATGAATACAATTACAAAACACTCTCCACACAAATAAAGTCAGATCTAAATAATTGGAAAAACATCAGTTGCTCATGGGTAGGCTGAGGTAGTATAATAAAAATGACAATTCTACCTAAACTAATTTATTTATTCAGTACCATACCAATCAAACTACCAAAAAATTATTTCATAGGGCTAGAAAAAATAATAACAAGATTCATTTGGAATAACAAAAGGTCCAGAATGTCAAGGGAACTAATGAAAAGAAATGCAGGGGAAGGTAGCCTAGCCATAACAGATCTTAAATTGTATTATAAAGCGCAATCATCAGAACTACTTGGTACTGACTAAGAAATAGAGTGGTGGGTCAGTGGAATAGATTAGGTGTGCAAGACACAGTAGTCAATGACTGGTAATCTACTGTTTGATAAACCCAAAAACCTCAACTTATGGGATAAGAACTCACTATTTGACAAAAACTGCTGGGAAAACTGGAAAAGAGTATGGCAGAAACTAGGCATAGACCACAATCTCACATCATATACCAAAATAAAGTCAAAATGGGTTCATGATTTAGATATAAAGGCTGATATTATAAGCAAACTGGGAGAGCAAGGAATAGTTTGTCTACCAGCTTTATGGAGAACAGAAGAATTCATAACCAAACAGGAGATAGAGAACATTACAAAATGCAGAATGGATAATTTTGATTACATTAAGTTGAAAAGTTTTTGCACAAAGCCAAGGCAGCCAAGATTAGAAGGAAAGTAGAAAATTGGGAAAGAATTTTTACAACCGGTGTCTCTGATAATGGCCTAATTTCTAAAATATATAGAGAACTAAGTCAAATTTATAAGAATACAAGTCATTCCCCAATTGATAAATGGTCAAAGGATATGAACAGGCAGTTTTCAGTGGAAGAAATTAAAGCTATAGTCATGTGAAAAAAAGCTCTAAATCACTATTGATGAGAGAAATGCAAATCAAAACAACTCTGAGGTACCACCAC